TTAATTTGAATTCTAACTAATGCAGTAATAGATGATTTATCTATATTTGTAATTTGAATTGATTCATCTGTCAATTTTACTTTAGTATACATTCCTTTTTGTACAGGACATGGTGGATCAGATGAATCTATTGATAAACATTTATTATCATGAACACCTGAATTAGCTTCAAGTATTCCATCTGTATAATTGAAGTATTTGATAAGGTCACCTGTCTCTTCTTGATCTAATGCTTTAATAACATTATAATTCATCTTGTTTATTTTGATTTCTTAGTTCAATCTTTTATTTCATTCATGAAGTTCGGTAATTGGAAGAGATTTAAAGAAGGATTAAAGAAAGTTGCAGCACTATTAGCTTCTGGTGCGAAATTTGGTGGGAATGTAATTGAAAAAGCAAAACCACTTATTTCTATAGCATCAGATTTTATTCCAGGTGGTGAAATAATTAAAAAAGGTACAGAAGTAATTAGTAAAATAGCAGAACCTACAAGTGAAGTATTAAATAGAATAGCATCAGGTGAAAATGTTGTTGGTGCAACTAAAAGATATTTAAATCAAGTTAAAAATGAAATACCAAATGATATTACTAAAACAGCAAGTAAAATTATTAATCAAGTACCTGAACATATTTCATTAAAACCTAAAGGAAGAACAGGAGTATCACCTAAATCTGCTTTATTTGCTAAAAGACTCAATGGTAATGAAAGTGAAATGAATAATGAAGAAGATTATGATATTGAAGATTATCTATAAATAATTAACTCTTTATTCTTATTTAATTGTTATGAAATTTGGATTTATCAAAAAGTTAAAGAATATAATTAAGACAGCAGGAAAGAAAATAGCAGGAATAGGAGGGAAGTTATATAAAACAACAGGTAATATAACAACTAAATTAATTCCTATTTCAAAAGGAATAGCATCATTTCTTCCAGGTGGTGAAACAATAGGAAAATTATTAGAAAGAATACCAAAATGGTATGAAACAAATGGAAAAGCACTCACAGAAATTAGTGAAGGAAAGAAAATAAAAGATGTTATTAAAGATTATGGAAAAACACTTTATAATGATGTTCTTTTAAATAAAAAGAATTTATCATCACTATCACCTTATGAACAAGAAAAACTAACACAATAATAAGAAAAAAGAATCAATTAGACTTAATTGAGAGCTTCTTTTTTAAAATTTAATTGTTCTTTTGAACTCATCAAGAGTTCTTACTCTAAAGTCCCTTTCAATAACAAAGTGAGGACCATACTTTGATAAATCAAAAGTGAGTGGGTAGCCTGCATAAAGATATTCGTACAAAGCAACTACATCCCCTTCAAATTTTTCATTGGCAACCCCAATAATCACATCCTTGGGGATGCCTTTCATTCTAATTAAATAATCTATATCACCATCTTCATTGGTGAGTACATCAAGGTAAGACTTCTTACCCAGAAAGATGGACTTGATTGACCAACTTTCTTTTCCATTCACTGACGGGAAGTCAGAATGAAATTGACCTATATTATTCCCTACCAGTTCTCTATTATATTTTCTATAATAAGAATCTCTCAATTGAGCTAATTTATCTTTTTCAATATGGATACTATCAGTATCCTGATAATAAACATATATGTTATTATCTTCACATAGATAAATTAATTCATTCATTATTCTCTTGGACATGGAGAGAATAAGAACCCCAATAATATTAGGAACGAAGAATTCGTCCAATTGTTTCTTAACATTTAATATCCAAATGTCAGAATCATATATTTGTTCTCCTGACAGGATATCTTCTAAATTTCTTTTCCAATAAGAAAGCATTTTTCTTTTTGTCCTAAATAGTTTATTTTCTTCCATGATTGGCTTCTGAATAGTTTTGCCATAACAGGAGTTCATTATTAATTTAAATATTACTTCACTTGGGTCATGTTCTGCTTTCTTTTGCTTTCTTATATCATAAATTTCTTTAATCTTTTCTTTAAATAAACTAGCCTTTCCCCCATCCCAATAAATTCCTTCTTTAACATTAAATTCAATTTCTTGATATTTAAGTAGATCCTCTAAGTAAATTGAATCTACTGTCATGATTGTTGGTTCATTTACATATTGATTTATTCCATTCACCTTCTTAATAATAATTGGCATCTTTCTTTTTTTATTTACTTTTGTTATCTCTATAGTCACAATAAAATATGAGATAAATCGTTCTTGTGTAGTTTCATATTGTTGTTCCTCCATTAGATGTTCCAGATACCACTGGAGTGGTTTATTCATAACCCGGGGTGCTCCAGAAGGAAGAAATAGTCTTGCAACTGCTGATGGATAAAGACTGCAAGCATCAAAGTCTACTATTTCTTTATTAACCATATGTTTTTTATTTTCACCTAACATATTTCTACCACTATAAACTGATTTTTTAATATACTCTCTTACATTACCAGTATATTCAAATAAGAAATCTTTTACAAAGCAGTTATTTTTAAAGTAATAATAAGATAATGAACTTAAGGTGGAAAATTGGGTGCATTCCAAATTTAAATTTTCTTTCATCATCTTCTTATATTTTAAAAATCCTTCTCTTAACACTAATACGTTCCTTAAACAATAATATTCACAGTATTTTTCTGCGTTAAATTCGGTTTCATTTATCATACACCTATTTTTTATTAAATTCTCTTTAAATTGTGCAATTTTTTCTAATGACCAACTAGGTGTTTCTTTATTCCAACAATTTTCAATTACTCCAATATTCATTGTTTCCTCATTATAATAATTATAAGGGAATATTTCTTTTTCATAATTTCCATCTAATTTAAAGAATGTTTTAAAATTAGATATGCTTGTTGGTATTAAAGCAAGTGTATCTTTAAATACTATCTTCTTTCCATTTAATTTTATTGTCATTTTATATATCATCTTCCCCTTTTTAACTATATTAATAATTCCATATTTTGCTAAAAATCTTCCATCATATCCTAAGTTATGGAAGTAACAAAGGGGTGACTCTATAGTTTGAAGATAATTTATAAATTTATCTGCACAATTCATACCATAAAATTTCTTCCACGCACCAACTTCATTCATAACAATAATACAATATGGCTTGTGATAATCACTAGAGGTGAAACATTCAAAATCAGCAAACAACAATGTATTAGTAGTTTCACTCTTTTTATCTTCTACAATTAATTTTGACTCTTCATATGTTAAAGAAATATTTTCTGGTGAGAATAGAAAAGAGTCATAATATTTTTTCTTAATCATATCATTTCCTACAATTTCTTTAATAGCTCCAGCATCTCTCAATAGACTTAAACATTTATATACTGGAATATAATTATTTAGAGAGTGTTTATATATTTCCCCTTCTTTTTTAGTAACATTGAAGAATTTTTCTATATCCTTTCCATTTTCATTACAATAATTTAATATTTCTTCATAATGTTTTATAAAGTATGTAGTTAATGGTACTTTTTCATCAGGTACATAATGAAAATTATTCTTCCAACGTATTAAAAATATTTTAATTGTTCTTTCACCATGTTTAATATTATTTGTGACTATTTTTTCTCCATTATAATATCGAAGAATTATGTTGAGTTTAAATTCTTCTGCAAAATGTATCATAGTTTTTTTTTGTCACAGTATTCCCCTTTAACTTTGTTCTTATTTTATCAATTTCATTCTTTCTTAAGATATTACTATTTTCTAAACAATGAATAAAACAGTTTTCTATTTGTACTATATCCTCTTTACTATAGATTTGATATTTTTTTGAGGATATGTTCTAGAGGTGCCCAATGTTCAACCAAATAATAATTAAATAACGCACCTTCTATTCGTTGGCGTTGAGGAGGTTTCAATATTGTAATGATGATTTCTTTTACAATTTTTCCTGGTGGAATATTTAACTCACTTTCTTCATCATCATATCTCCTCCAAAATTCTTCTATACCAACTTCAAATCCCACACATTTATTAATAAATACTTGCGGATCAACATTTTCTAAGTTAATAATAAATCGTCGCCGCCTTCCACCAAATACTAATTCTACCAGGGGAATTAAGCCATGTTCCTTAATTAATCGACTTATTCTATAGGTTTCCCCTAACATACCACGCCATGCTTGCGCAGTATTTTCTAGCCCAAAATCTCTTTTTCTGATGACTGTAAATTCAATCTCGTCATCTGTATTATTTGCTCTTGCCAGTTGGAGGAGATGTGTTTCATTTTCTGTAGGTGGTACTCTATCTAGAGTGAGGAAATCTAAGGTAGCATTTTCCTCTTCATGGTTTATTTCCTCTAGTAGAGCAGCAACCTCACCATCAGTTAAGGTATCCTCCATCATTTGGGCATCATTAGGTGGGACATTAGTGGGGACAAAGGGGGTTTCTTCAGGGGGATTCATAGGGGCGTCCTGAGAGGGGTCATTAAGGGGATCTGGTGAAAAAGAAGGCGTAGTGGGGCTAGCTCCGCTGACTGATCTATCACCACTAAGTCTAGCACTGATAGTTCCAGCCCCGTACTCTCCAATAGCCCCGCTAGCCTTCTCTTTCGCAAGAGAGTCTATAGCCTCGTGAGGGGGTGCTTGGATTTCTCCAAGACTAGCTTGCCATTCTGGCTCTCTTGATTTTGTCACGGCTTCTCTACGATTTCGAACACGATCCCCGATTGTTTCAAAGCCGGCAGAACCATGAGATATAGTTGTTGTTTTTTCTAGCTCTCTATGGTTCTCGAAGAAAGCATTGCTATGTGAGTTATTTGCTGTTTTTTCTAACTCTCCATAGCCATCTAAGTCAGATGGATTAGAAAAGGTAGTCATTGTTTTTTCTATCTTTTCATAATCCTTCTTACGCATAGTAACTCGTCGTCTTTGTTGACGACATGATCATCGCTACCAACACGAGGTTCTATGGTGCGACGATCATTAAGCAGTTGTTGTCGTCTTCTTTGTCGACGGCGTTCCTGCTCTTTTCTTTTAATATTAAAAATATTATTTTTGTTTTGTCTATAGGACATTAAAACTGAATGAATATTTTATTTTTTCTTATTAAAAAATTAAATCAATAAATTACAAAAAGTATAACAAATTTTAAATATTCAAAAAATGGAATAGTTATAAAATATCTTTTATTATTTCAAAAAATATCTAAAATAGATGAAAATAACGAAGATATAATACTTCAAATACATCAGACTATTTAAGATTCTTTCATTTTAAATGGAATATCTCAAAATATCTAACAATACATCAAAAATATCTGTATTTATTCTAAAAATAAAAATCTATTTATAGAAAATGATATTTTAAAAACAATAATACAATGAAATGTTATATATCACAAAAAGATAGAAATTTCTCATTACGTAGTATATGATGTATCACACTATTGTCAAATTATACCATAGAAAAATAATATAAAAAGATAATAAAAATTATAAAATTATAATTCAATAAATTTAAAACTTAAATAAATACAAAAAGCAATTAATTAAGTATTAATAAAACTAGTTTCTATTGTTCCTGGCTTAGGGAAGAGTAATCACAACGAGTCTTTTTTAGCAGCTCTACGGAGTA